AATACAATGTAATGAGGAATACAATAAAATAAACAATTGGAATATACAAGAGGCATACCACAGTTCGAGGCATGCAAAGGTGCTACCTGCACCTGAACAAGAAAACGCGTATGTACAAATTTAGGATTGGATTACAAAATAAAGAAGAGACGTCCATCAGTAGAAAGGGACTGTGGTTCTTCTGAAGTACATGTCAGTTAGGTGAATGAAGGCATCGTATGAGTCCTTATGCTCAAAAATGCAGTCCAGATTTTGAGGAGGCCAGTTCACATCGTGTGCCTCCAGGATAATCTTGAGAGAAAATCTTTCCAATTCCATCATTGGACAGTCTATTATGTAGTGCAAATTTCCATCCGGTGTACCACAGACAGTACAATTAGGGTCGTGAGGGTATTTGAATCTACTCAAGTAAGAGTGAAAAGCACCATGGTTGGATAGCATCTGAGTAAGTTTATGGCTGGGTGAATACCATTTATTTTTTAAAAATTCCTTAATATTATTAATAAGTTTTGAAGTTATGGTTGTGTAACTATTCCAATCCATCTGCCATTCCATTAAAAGATTCTGCCAGAGCAGACTTTTGACTGTTTTATTATTCAGTTTATTATATGAATAAGGAAGGTCTCGATTGGTAGAGGCCTCCTTGGCAAGAGAATCTGCCCTCTCGTTGCCAAGTGTGCCCATGTGTGCCCTTGTCCAGTTTAAATAAAATTCACAATTTGAAGTGTTGATTGCATCCTGAATAGCAACTGCAATGGGGTTATAGGTTTTGGTCTTTAGAAGGGCCAGTGTAGAAGCACTGTCAGAGATGATATTTATGCTTTCATTATTGTAATGACAATTAACCCAGTCAACTGCTTTACTTATGGCAAAGAGCTCTGCCTGAAAAACTGTACAGTTGCTGCCAAGTCGGAATTGGCCTATGTCAATTTCTTGTTCGTCACCATAAGCAACAAAGCTGCACCCCACATTTCCATCTGCCTTTGATCCATCTGTGTAGATTTGGATTTTGGTCTGGACAGGGTTGTCGAAGTAGATTTTATTTTCAGTTGCCGGGTGTCTAGTATTTGCAAACTTAACTTTATGTTCAATGTCGTCATAACTGATGCAAATGTCACCTATAAGGACGTCTTTGCCCCATATAATTTGCCACATCCTAGTGATAAGAGTGATTACTTTGTCAATTGGTGGTTTTTTTTGCCAAAACCTGGTTAGCGGTATTCGGGATTGTGCGATACGCCTTTGTAATCTGTATAAGGGCTCTCCTCTGGGCAGCGATAAATTTTCTCTTAATGTGAGCCTTATTAATATCATGGTCCCAACTGCCACATGCATAGGTACAGATTGGTAAGAAAATCTGGTTATAAATCGCCTCCTGGGCTTCCACAGCTAGGCCCCAACGATTACGAGCGATGCTCGAAAAGGCATTAAAGATCTTACCAATTCTGTCATTAATATATTCAGCATGAGGATTCCAAAGGAGTCGGTAATCTAGGATCACACCAAGGTACTTGATGGATTTATCGACGTGAACAGTTTGCCCTTCCATCTTGATAGTTGGGACNGTATTAAATTGATAACATTTCAGACATTGTTATAAATATTTTTATTTATTTCGATTTTAATTTAAAATGTTTGATCCGTTTTAAATTCGCATTTGTTATTGCATATTGGTTCGATTATAGAAAGACTGTAAACGTTTCAGAGAATTGATCAAATTGAAAACAGTTCGTTTGATTCTCGGCAATTCTCTTCAGCGGTAGGTGTTATTTGACAATTACTATGGTTATTGAAATATTGAATGTAAATGTGGTTTACTTGCAAAACCTCCGCGGACGAAGTTGCGGGTAACAGCTAGTTATTAATAACCGTTGGTTTACATTTGTTGTAAACTGAAGATCTGTTTTGTATTGTATACAGCTAGTGTAC